ACCCCCCCCCCCCCCCGCTCCCAATTTCTGTGTTATGGTTTAGCAGGGAAACGAAGATGACGAAACAATATGTGGAGTGGTCAGATGCCTCACACTCCAAGTGTCATGGATAACTGCAAGCATGACTTAAACTGTACAACAGTCCCTTGTCCTGATGGTTTTGTTTTTGTGTGTCCTGTGTTAAGCTCAATCAGAATAAGGCATCACTAATGATGTGATTTTAAATGCTTATCCTAATTAAAGACTTGGCATTTTGTGAATTCACATCACCTTTACCTTCACATCACATCAAATGTTAACCCAATAGCTGCTGAACTGGCAGAGTTATAGCTTTGCATGTTGACTAATATTCAATATCTGTGGTAATCGTCTTGAATTAGATTGACTTCAAACAATAAATCAATTTTAGATGTATGTTATGTCCAAATATAACTTTCTGAAAGTTTTGTTAAATTCTAATTCTTCATAAGATACTTGGCTAATACACAGACAGGGTTGACTCCAACAGTTAATGCTGACATTTGAATCAAAGGTTTCACCCAACGAGCAGCACTTCATATGTTGTTTAATGACTTTTTGCTACAACCACCCTACATTTTAGCTCAATATCTGTAAAATTGTCTGAGTTCTAACCATTTAAAAAAAAAAAAAATGTATGATTAGGTGGCAGGCATCCGAAACTAGATTGACTCCCAAATTTAATCAGCTCTATAGACGTACAGATTTTATGATTATTTTTTTGAAAATGCCATTAAAATCTGTCCAGTGGTTCACAAGGCATTTTGCTAACAGGCTGAAGCACACAGTGTTAAAACCAATACTGACTGGCCTTGGGCTTTTGGTAGCAGGCCATTAAAATGATCCATCTTTATTGATGAAATTTGGTTAATAAAGTTTGAAGAACGGTGTTAGTCTTTCATTTTTGTAAAGACTTAAGGAGGTAAAGTGTGGCTTTTATGTAAGCCGTTCTGTTCTTCTCCCAGTTTCCTTTAGCCTGAAGCTGGTTCAGTATGCAAAGTAGCTGAGCTCCCTGGCTCAGTTACTCAGTAGCTACAAGTTCATAATTATTTTACTGTGCAATATGTGATCACACTTGGATATGCAATCTGGATGTCAAGAGGGAATATAGGAGGACTTTAGGTACAAAGTGTATGGAAGTTCCAAAAATGTGACGGTAAAAAAATAACTTATTCTCGTAAATGTTTTACTTCCTGAACGTTGAGAAATAGAAGCTCTGTGGGAGTGTAGGCCCATTATCTTGGATCCAGGGTGCACCAGCAACCCAACAGATATACTGTACGTCAAATATGCTTCACGAAATATCGTTAAATAATTATGATGTGGTGAACATTTATTGTCAGACTTTAACAGCAACCAAAGAGAATAATCAAAAAACTAAAGCAAACAAAAACAATTAAACATGTTGAAACGCTGATCACCACCCAATGGGACAGCTGGGTAGAAATACGCTGATATTATATTTAGACCTTAAGGGATGGGATGATTTTTTTTTTCTTGTTTCTGACCTAGTTTCATCTCCATTAGACTAGGATCTGATTTCTTACCATCCTCGGGGTACTGAAGAGCACGTTAAATACACAGAAACTCACTGTATTTTGGCAAAATTCATTCATTTTTTTCCACACACACACACACACACACACACACACACACACACACACACACAC